CTGAAATTATAGCTGGCAGCCTTTGAATTCCCGTAACTGTATGCTGTGTTTTATTTGTTCTGGAGATGGTTATGAAGAAAAATGTAAAAGAGGTAGGCTGTTAACTGAGTAAAATGCTGTAAAAAGTCATCAACTACTCCCTCATCCAGTCACCCATTATTTAATTTCACTTTCAGTAACATCTGGTCTTTGTCCTTACCTTTTTGCATACAGCTCTATGGATTGCAGTAATATGTTATAGCTATTGTGGTTGGAGCTTTGTATCTGCATATAAAGTAGGTTTCTTTTGGCAGTGCTGCACACAATTAAAATCCTGTGCACAGTGCCGAATTCCGCTCTCAGTATTCCCATAGTTTTCATTTGGAGCTACAAGCTCATCTCATCATTCAATTTGCCTCCAAACATCTAAGGAAGGGTCTATAACATTTTTATACGTTATGATTTTCAGTGTTCATTTCAGCTGGATCTGTTAAACAGGTACCATGTAATTATGCAATTACAAAAGAACTGGGAATAATTGGGTACCTGACAGCCTGCATAACCTCTTGTATAGATGGTGGAAGGTCCTTCAGTTGCTTTATGTGTGCAAAATGAGAAAGTTCGAAAGAACTAAGGATTGATGGGAGTCTGCCAAGCTTAGAAATGTATGGAAATATGCTGGGGAAATTTTTGGATGTTTTTGGCAGGAGAGGAGGGGAAAAAGGATCATCTGAGACCTTAGAGTTGAAAACAGCATTTTGACTGAGAAATCCTGTGGTGTTGCCTCCTGGGAGTACATAGTTCAAAGGTGTTGTTCTCTGTTGTGCTAACTAGATTAGATGTGCCCAGTCTTGCAGCAAATCAATGCCTTATGAAAGATATATCTCAGGCAAAATGTTGAAAATTTCTGTGGGTAGCAACTCTTCTTGCAAAAGAACTAGATTAGTTAGAAATCTCATTTTCCTTCAGAAATGGGTGAAAATGAACAAAAGCTATCCATAACAGTCAGGGTCTTTCTATGCAATGCATTGATTGCAGCCTGTTGTGGCTGGAAGTGCTCTCAGACCACAGCTGAGCTCACAGAAGAATCTCTCATGTATGTCAACGAAGGTGCAGCAAAGTAGGCTGCAGTCTTTTCCAGATGAGCCAGGACAAAGCATGTCTCATTTTTAATCAAGATGACTGAGAGTGCTTGAAAAATAGCCTCACAAACATTGATATATTAATTTTTTAACTCTAAAATGTCTGTTGGTAGTTGACGGTACGAATCCTTGCATTTCTTTTTGACAGGGACAGAATGATACTCTTGAAAATGGAACAGGAAATTATTGATTTTATTAGTGACAACAAGTAAGTCAAGTTCCATGCTTGGTTATTAAGTTGCGTGCGTATGTTGCAATGCGAGTTGTGCGAGGGATGAATTCATATGGACCGCAGTGCTCCTGAGGGCTGTTACTGGCATGCTACAAGAGCAGACTTTTTATTTCCTGACATGTGGTGATACTACTTAAGATACAATAGATGTAAATGAAAACCTTTTGCTCTTCATTGTGTTATAATTCCACTGGCTCTGCTCATTTAGGTACAAAAATATAATTAAAGCTTTTAGTGTAGAGGATAATAAAACACATTATCTCATCTTTGTTCTAAAGTGTTGGAAAATAGGACTGAACTTAGGTGGGGGGATTCTTGCTACCATGTGCTCTTTATAATAAATTTTTTCTGCAGCTTTAAAAATAGAGAGTCAGAATAGTAGCAGATGAAGAAATTATGCTGATGGGAAATAAGCATTTTGTCAGTAAGAGAGAAGAAAGTACTATTTGCCAAATTAGATTTTTCCAGCATCTCCCTGCATCTGACCTTTGGGGGAAAGGCAGAAAGCTGTTGCCAGTGTCACAGCAAATCTGTAGGACTGGTTGTGCAGGGAGCATAAGTGTGCATGGGGTCAAGGGATGAGTTCTTCCCAAGACACAGTAGATTCACTAGTACAGTGAAGCATGAGCTTAGTTTGCTCTGATGTAGCACATGGAAATGTGCTTATTAGAAACTCTAAAATTAATTTATTTTTCTTCCTTCTGGTAGCAAACACTTATATATAAATGCACAATGGGGAAGTTTTCAGTTAGATTCAGTCCACTGAATTTTTCAAATGTACTGCTGTTTTCATTTAATTGTAGCTCAGAAGGAAATGTAATTATCAATGCGGTTTGTTTTCTTTGTTTCCAGTAATCACTATAAAAAGTTCCCTCAGATGTCATCATATCAGAGGATGTTAGTGCACAGAGTGGCAGCTTACTTTGGAATGGATCACAATGTGGATCAGACTGGAAAATCTGTAATTATCAACAAGACCAGCAATACAAGAATGTAAGTAGCAACACTGTTGTGTTTTTCCTTTTTCCCTTTCACAAGACAAGAGCTGGTTTGTACCATGACTGTGTGGTGTAATTATTGAATATATGTTTTTGTAGCAACCGTGAGTGCTGTTTATTCTTTTCTAGGGTAAGAGGGGAGGACAGGGCTCTCATTGTGAGATTTTTTAAAGGATGTAAAGATACATAAGGAGAAATCAACCTATATTGGTCCCTTGCAAGAAACTTAACATGGAATCTTGGAATGTTACTTTTCCTGACTCCTTAGTTCTGCCACTTTGCTACGGAAATGAGCTAATTGCTTTACATGTCACCTGATACCATATGTCTATATTCCTAAATAACCCAAACATATTTGGAAGATTGCCTCTTTCTTTGTTCTGGCTCTCCTGGCTTCAAGAGTCATTTTCTGCCCAACCCGATTATTTAGGATTTGGTTCCCCTCCACCATCTGCCACCATTCATTCCCTTTTCCTGCTCTCCCCTCCTGGTTCCACTTTATTTTCTCTTCAAATCTCATTGTTTGACCACAGCATTTTTGTGAAATATAAATTCCTTCTGATGGTTCAAATGCATTCCAAAATTCCTGGCAGGTTAAACTTGTGCTGTCATGTGTTATACACTTCTTCATGAACCTGTATAAAGCTAGCAAAAGCTCAATGTGAAGTTCACTAGCTAATTCAGCAAAAGTCCAGTCGTGTCCTTGCCTAATCAGCATCACTTGTTCTGCCAATTGCCACGTGTGTATTAACTGTAGCCTTCATCTCCCTCTCTACCTATAAACTACATAATGAAGAGGAAGTAATTACAACTGGGTAATGAAGTTTTGGTATCTGGTATTGGAACAGGAAAGCCCCTTTGAAAATTGTGTATTTCCTGTATTCAATTAGTATGAGAAATAAAAACATTAATTTCATTTACATACCCAGTAGTTAGGTGATTTATTTAGATCTATTTGCAGAAAGTATTTTTTTAATGTTATTAACTTGTGTAGGAGGGTAGAGGGGCTACCTAATTTTTCAAGATCAAAATCTGAACCAAACACATCTGTATTAGCTATTTCACTGAGACCTAAAAATCTTCCATGGGTATGAAGTAAATTTAAGATCATGGACCATTTATTTTTGATCCATTTCATGAGCTATCCCTAAGATACTTGGACATTTGTAAAACAGCACTTGGGCATTAATATTTTTAAAGGTTTGAATAAAGCGTGCACTAACAGTTTGATTTTCAGATGTCAAGAGAATTACAGTAGCTCAATAAAACACTCAGGCTGCCAAGCCTTAGCCTCAGGGTCTGATAATAACTGCCCCTGTGCAAGGGCTATATTTGTGTATGAATGAGAAAAAGCTGGGTATGGAGCAAACTGGTGTTCAATTTTGAGATGTAAATAGGGGAAAAAAAGTCTTCTCTTAAACAAAACACAATCATAATTGAATGCTTCTTAGGCATTACTCTCTCTTTACAGTTCTGCCTTTTCCCTTCACATCTGTGTCACTGCTGTATGCACCAGCTGCTACATATCTTTCCTCACAGCATTGCCTTCTCCTGGCTGACTTGATAATAGAGTAATAGCGTGTTAATATCTGTGAATGCCTTGCGTGGCTGTCATCTCAGACACGGGTAGCACTGGAAGCACTGTTGGAAATGCTTGCACAGTGCTTCTGGAGAGGACAATGAAGCCTTCTTCAACAGTCAAAGCTTTATCCGAGTGCTCAGGTGAAGCTGTGGCTTCATGTGTGGTGGAAGTGAGCAGGCAAGGCTGCTTGCCAGGTATTAACTGGCACCCTTGTGGGTGAGCTCCGCGAGCATGAGGTTGCAGGGGTATAATGTATCAAACAGCCCTTTCAGCCGTGGTCTTGCAAACTGGATATGAGGCACAGAGCCAGATGAATTGGTTCTAATGCCATTGCTGTTTAGATCTTCTAGAAATAAACATAGGGCTTTGCCCCTCTGTTGACTCTGAGTACAGCTGTTTTGTAAGCATCACACAAGCTGCAGGTTTCTTCACTGTTCAGTGATATGGTGGTAGGTAACCGGATTACATGAAGCTCATTCTGCCTTGTAGTATTTCCAGTGTGTTACTTACATTATGTTGATACTGCCATAAAATAAAGCTTTCTAGAAGTACCTCTTTCTTTTCATAACTGGACGAGATGGCATATTTTTTTTAAAATGTTCCTGGCTCTGACAGAAAATAGTTTGTTATCATCTAGCTTGAATAAGGACTGATGAGATTTTATTATCTGCAGCAAATATTGTGTAAATTCCACATCTGAAAGGATGTGATGGAATTCCATGTGTTTTGCATTTCACTACTCTCAGAGGAGACAGTTTTGTTCGGTTCAGAATCAACACCAAATACTAGGAATGTGTTGACTCTATTAATTACTACTTGGACAGTATCCAGAATACCGGAGAATCTGAAGAGTGTCTGAAACACTGTTCAACGTGGTTATGCTGTGCTGTAAGCCTGAGCCTTGATAGCTTTATGTGAATTTATGGAGAGGTGCCATAGATGTATGTTCTGAAGATTTGCATTTTGGTAATAAATTATGGCTTGTGGTTTCCAAAGTACTTTACCATGCTGTGGAGAGAGAAGAATATTCTTGCATGCTCAAGAATTCATCTTTTCTGCTCTGGCTGTGACTTCTGTGTACATGTGCCTGTTTGGGAAGAGCATCTGACTCTGCAGAGTGGCCATGTGGCTTGAATAAGCACCTTGTGGCTTATTTCTCTGAGTGAAGATTCATGTCACATCTCTGCTCACACTTGCAGGCAATCAGTTCTTCCCTGGCTCCAGGCAGTGAGGTGCATTTATTCTGTTCAGCAGAGACCGTCCGTGTTCATTGCCTGCAGGTGCTTGGAGGTACAAGTGTCAGAAGAGTTAACGGCTTTGAGGTGAAAGGGCTGGCTGAAAAATCTGGTAACAACCTTCCCTTTGAGGTGCCCATGGTACAGACTTGTGTCTGCCAAACGGGACTAGGGTGTGAATGGAGCAGATGGAAGGTGTTTCAGTCCTTTCATCAGTTGGCCATCTTAGGGCAATGTTTATCCACTTTTATGTACCTGTGCCTGTAAAGTACCTACTTGATGGAGTTTTGGAATTGGAGAAAGTGCTTATTGAAGAGATTTCAGCTGGAAAGAGGGCTGTGACTTCTTTGTTCATCCATGCTGCTTTACAGATAGGGGAAAAATGATGGTTAAAATTCATTAGGACTTAAGTCTCTGGGATTGAAGTCCTGCAGCTTTCATGAACTCTCCATGAAGTCTCTCTTAAAAATACAGTCAGATAATAATGGCAATTTTGCAGTTTGAAGATATTTATAATGAAGAGCATAATCTAAGGTGCCTTTTTTGTCTTTAGCTTTATTGGAATGTGAACAAATTGTAATGTTTTTGAAGCTTTTTTTATGAAATGAAATTTTAAAACACCGTGATGAGCTCAACTACCCAAGTATTTGTTAACCTTTATAAAGTTAAGTCTCTCTACTCTTGCTCTTATTACAGAATAGTGGATTTTAAAAACAAATTATCCTTCCATACCATTTTTGAAATTTAAGCTAGGTTAAAAACAGAGAATAACTAAAAAGTACATAAATTTTCATGGTCTCATATCTTACAAAGTCCTGCCTAACTAAATTGTCCAGTTTTTGAAATCTTATTCTCAGCAGTGTACATGAAAAAAATGATCAGAAAATAAAGGAGGATTTTGTTATTGTTGTCTTGGTTTTATAGTCAAAGAACTCAAATACTGCTTAAAATGCAAAGTCTGCTTTGTTCAGTATGAAACTACTTGTGTCACCATTCTGATATATATTTGTCTGTCATCTGTGCCTGCCTGTCATCTATCTAAAGATATACAGAAATATACAGGGAACTTAAGACAGTGAAATATGATAGAAGCAGGAGTTTGGAATTGAGGCAGTATGTTAGACAGGGCATCTGTATTTGGAGCCAAAAAAATGTGTGTGTGCCACCTTCTATTTTGTGTATTCCTCATGATTCCTATCAAACATCTGGAAATACCCCAGAAGATTTTGCAGAACAGTTCATATTGCTAGACGTATCAGCTCAATCAGATTCATTCATTTGATTATCTGTACATAGGTGGAGAAATGTAAGGGACATGTGTTTGGTGTGCCTGGTAAATTAAAAGGGGTTTCATTTGGTTGAGATCATCAGCCTTGTGACAAGTATGTCTGTACCACAGCCCACACATGCATTCATGTACTTTTTTATATAAATGTGAGTGGCAGGGCTCATCAGAACTGAGAAGGTGGGGTGCTTATGATATATAATGGTGTGTTTAGACATTTTCATACATTCTGAGGGTGTAACATACCTATTATAAACTTTATACCAATTCTCACATCCTCGGTTCTGACTATTTCATTTTTTTTTCAGAAGCATCGTGAGTTACGAGCCTTGTGATACTTGGTTTTCTTCCTACTCTGTTATTATAATGTTGGCCCAGTTAGAAGGTTTTAGATTTTTTGGTTCCTTTGAGATGCATCAAAAACCTCAGGCAATGTGTATTACAGGGGTTCCTTATAAGCTAGAGTTGAACTGTATCAGCAGAAGGAGGCGTAATGTCCAAGTTTTACTCTGAATAACCTACAAGGACTTCATGGTTTAATGTACAATCTGCATTATTCTGTCTCCTCTGTGTAAGGGTGGTTTCAATCGCAAGCAAAGACAAAAAGTTCTCTTTGGGTTTCTATTAAGTATACACTGAGTGATCTTGCTGTAGATAGTATCTATGCTAGTAGAAGTATGCTGTGACAATTTCACCAAATTAAGAATGTGAACTTTGATGCAGGATCCTACAGACAGGTTAGTAAAATGACGCTCACTGAACACGGCAATTTCAATGAGGAGTAGTTTCTAGAAATTTTTCTACCTTAGGCTGAAGTGCCAAGAAGACTTCCTTGAGATGCCAAATGTTACAGCCTTTGGAGCATGCAGAAAAGTATGCCTCTCTCATTGACT